TATCTTTTATTTATGAGTAATTAATAATATTTTAATAGTAAATTTTGCAAGAATTTATTTAATAAATATAGTAAATATATCTGTTATTTGATTTTAATTCAATAAAAAATAATATAAATTAAGCTAAAATTAAAGATATTTATTTATTATCTAATATAATTAGCAAATAGTTAAGTTTTTTTATCACACACTATATGTATATGAATATATAGTATATTGATTATTATGATTATATATATATCTATTTATAGATATAGCATTATAATGAAATTGATTTATTTTATTCAATTAGCATTTTAATATTATAGATTCTGATGCATTTAGGTTAATAATCTTCTAAATATAATTATTATGATCTAACCCTATTAAAAAAATAAAATATAGAAGTAATTATTAATGACTGACTCGCAAATGAGAAGAAATAAGTAAAATATTTCAATAAAGTTATATTCTATAAAGTATTAATTCTTTATTTAGTATATATATTTATCAAAAGTCAAAACTAATGTAAAATAAATATAAAGTAAGATATATTCTGCAGCAGTGACTTAAAATGTAAATTATCACATTCAATCCAATCATTTCTTTATAAATTGAGTTTGGCTAAAAATTTATAGCTAAGATATTAAACTAATATATTAATTTATCATGTATCAATTTGATTATATATTAAATCTTTCAATATCTCACTTGTTATTTTTATTGAGTTTAAGTTATAAATATATCAATTTGCTATTATTTTTAATAAAAAAATTATTTGAGTTAAAATATTATATTTTTCTTGATATTATCTATATTTTAGATAAAAAATCATTATCTTTACTTTTTCTTGCTAGTATCTGAAATATTACTATCCAAGATATTATTTTGCTTAATTGTATTAAATTCAAAAATTATTAGCTTGTCTCTTTTGAAACTTCTCTTAATTATATCTTTATCTATAAAGACAAAAATATTAGTTCTGTAATATGATATAAGCATTCTGTTTTAATCAAATAAATAAATATTATACAAAAAAATATAAAAAATAATTTGAATTTTAGTTTTAAGTTAAAATATATTAGTATTAGCATAAAATATGGCAATTTCAATAAAGATTATATATAAATCTAATATCATTATATAGAATATAATGATAATAATAAAAACTATAGATATAATAATATTATTAGTTCTTATACAAGATATAGCGGTATTGACCAACTTTATAAACTTTAATTTCTATAAAATATTGACTTGATCTTTAGAAATTAAGCAGTTAATATTTTTAATAATGAAAAAGAAAGTAGTATACATATTTGCATAGAAATGTTTATTAAGTAATAATTAATTTTTGTTAGTAAAGATCAAGAAAAAGCTTTAGAATAATTAGATTTATATAATATTATTAGTATTACTTCATCTATTATTTATAAATCATTCTTATCAAGTTATATAATATATTTTTGTAATATTATTAATAAATTATGTTAAATATTTTATTATTCTATATAATATATAAAAAAATTTATATTATATTTCAAATTATTAGTTTTATTACTACTAGTATTATAAATTTAATTTCTTTAAACTTTCAATAACTTTATTTCTTTTGTGCTTAACAAAATCGAAGGTTTACTGCTTTGGCCATACAAAGTTGATGAATCATGTTTGACTCTGCGTTTCATTTGATTCTTCTAATTATTGGATTATTTTGATATCTGAATTTGAAATGGTTATCCATTTTATTTCGTTGATTTTACATAAACCTATTTATTTTATGATTTGGAAAGATAATATTTGTGTTATTTTTGTTATTTAAATCGAATTATATCTTATTAATAATTAGCTATTACTCTTTTGTTATTTTGAATTGAATATCATTCATATTTTACCTAATGACTTCTTTGCCCTTGTGACAATCTTTGTGTGGATTTGCGCAGGAGACCCTACTTGTGTAAATCATTCAGTCTAGCCTCGCTCTCGTCGTATTACAGTATGATAAATACGAAACGTCATCGGATAAATGATCTGTATTTTCAGCGAAGTCAATGTTATAGCAAACAAGTCTATTCTTTAAATGTTATATGAAGCAATTCTATTATTCGGATGTAATATTGTTTGATATGATATATGAGGTATATTATCCAAATGTTATATACAAATTTACTTCCAATACTATATAGGCTCATTAAACGTCGAGTTTATATATGCTTTATAATATTAAGCAAGATATGCTACGAAATAGAGGTTTTATTTATAAATGAGAACTAAGAGATATAGAATTGAATCATTTATATATTATGCATTGCTTATAATAATTAAAAAGGTTATGTCTGCTATTGTGAGTTTTCGCCTAAGTAACCTATAATATAAAAAGTTATTACATGTAGTTGCATTTCATACTTAAAGAATCCAAGAAAATGGCGAAGTTAATATTTTCTGAGAATAGATAAACAGAGACTAGAAGAACTTAATAATGAGTGGAAGAAATCACAAAATAAATCTACCTAAATGAAATTTACACAAGTCGAATTTTTACCTCAATGTTAATCCAGAATATTCCATGATCATGAGATTTTTCGTTGCTGCAACAATGATAAAATTGAGTTCTCTAATACTCTCGCATCAAATTCCATTTTAAATTATAAACTTCATTGCAAAACATTGAACCGTTTTGAAAGATAAACTTATTTCTTATGACATACAAAATACATCACAACATTAGCACTACTACCATGGAACAAAAAGAACATCAATGGTTCCCGGGCGAGACTTTTTTTCGATTTCTATATAATTGTATCCAATGATTTGATTCAATTTGATTGTATCATTGAATTGGTCTCTTATGGAATGAATTTTTCATGCATGGTTTGTGAATCAATTTTTTGAGTTTATAAATATTCATGGACCTTTCGTAGATAATATATATATTATATTGAAATTGTAAAAAACAGACAATATTATTAAAAAGATTTTTTAATTTAAAAAAATTTACTGAACTCAACCACTTTCATTTTATGTACCACGCTGAAAATGCAGATCGCTTGTCTGATGAACGTTTTATGAATATCATATGATTTGATCTAGCGTTTTCAAAAGAATCTATGCTTTCATGTATAATGGTTTGTCGATTGCTATACGATCGGTTTGCTAAGTAAAATATTTTAGCGAAGCGGATCTTGCAAATTATATTATGCCATTTGAAAATAATGAACGAGTAATTTCGTAAGATGATCTTAACCTTTTCTTGTTCAAAAATTTTAACCGGAATGCTACCTTGCAAATATGTGAAATCTCACCCTGGATAAGTGAAACGATAAAATTTACGCGATGTTGATAAAGCTACTATTTCGCAGCTTGAAACATTTTGCCTATATTGGCTTGAACAGATTTCATGTGAACAATTTGGTTGAAATGAAAAGATTTCATAGTAAATAAAGTTATACATGTATGTGGAAATCAGCGTGTATATTAAGCTTTGAAAAAAGATATGTGCAAAGCATTCACTAGAGAAGTTACAGTTTATTTTACTTTTACAATTAAGATGTTTATTAATGGTATATTACATAATTTATATGAGGAGGTAAATATTACTTTGATATAATACTTTCCCTTTAATTAAAAAGAAAATAACATTAGTGATTAAAAAAAGATTGTTCAAAGAGAAATGAAATAATGAAAAATCCGCTTTCATTATTATATGCACACCAAATGTAAAAAAACTTGAATCTGCAGAACAAGAGCCACTTCGTTTAGTATCATATCCGTTTGTGTAGCGAATATATTCAACAAACAATTTGAAAGAAAAGTATTTGTATGTCTGATTGTCGTATATCGCGATTGCTATTTCTTTACTACATGTAGATTAGATCGGCATAAATACATGTTGTAATGAATCTCCATCGAGATATACATGTGATTGTAGATGCACATTGTAATGCATTTAAAAGATTCCGGACTTAGAAAAGAATCTGTAAACAAGGATTATACATGTATTTGGTATTGTGCAATCTCTAGAAAGAGCACCGTTTTGGGTTTTTATTATTTATGTCTTGGCATTTCATCAGCTGTTTGATACGTACTACTTGACCACCTTATAAAATCCCAAGTTGATAAACTTGTTCTTCATTCGATTCTTTCTATGTCATATTATTTTCAGTATGACCGATAACAACAGTCTTCAATTTACTCAAACAAATACTACTCAACAACCTCAACCAAATCTTTATATACCTTTAAGTACAGTTTTAAGTGCAGTGACAGCGTTACCATCTCATGATCAAAGTCAACATGGTAATGTATCGCAACCTCAAATGACTTCACCAATGTACGTTCCTACATCAATGCCAACTGATAATGAAAAGGTGGAAACTACAATAATGAATGATAATCAAACAAAAGATTGGGAAAATCATTTCTTTGGATGCTTCGATGTTCCTGAACTTTGTGAGTTATTCTTTGTGTGATACGCGTGTTGTGATTCATAATAAATTATATTTTTAATTTTTAATCGAATTTTCAATTAAATAGGTTTTAAAACTTTCTTCTGTCCATGTTTCATCTATGTAAAGTATTTTTTAATTACATAATTCTGTCTTGCTAATTTAGTCACGAGAGTTTAATTGACTCTGGTCAATTTTTTCAGAGTGAAAACAAAGCCATGTTGCAGAAAAAGCCTGTAAGTCAAACTTGTAGTTGCTTTTTGTACAGTACTTGTATTTTTTATGGTTGTCTCGGAATGTTTAATCGTGAACAAATTCGTAAAACTCTGGGAATCAAGGTAATCAGAGTAAATCCTAAGTATTAAATTTATTATTAGTTTTAATGATTCCTATTATTAATATTGAATATTTGTAGGGTGGCGCATGTAGTGATTGCTTCGCACATTCTTTTTGTCCTTGTTGTGCCATGATTCAAGAAAACCGGGAATTGAAACAAATATAGAAACCTATCTAAATTAAATCTAAACAAATGATAGTTTAGCATTTTAGAATCCCAGAGAACAACTATCGTTAAAAATGTAATGCAAGTATAGCGTTTGCGAAATGATTTAATAAACAAAGGACATAAAAACTACATAGGAGATCATTTTTAATATGAGAGTAAAGCCTGAAATCCATCCAAAAGATGTACGCAAATTTCATCTAAGAATGCACAAATTTTCGATCGACCCAGCAAAACAAAGAAACCCGATCCTAAACCTGTCTTGAAATGCTAGTTAAAAGTAGTAGGAAGATAATTTTACATATAATCTTGTTCTTGATTCTATCCCTGATTTTATAAAGCACTAATCAGTTGCATGCTGAAATTTTAAAGGAACTGAATCACATTCCATCAGGTTTTAGCCAACCCCTACATCTAATATGAGGCTATATTTAGAAATTCATAGCGATAGAGATATGCGACAATCAAACTAAAATTAAATACATTTCTCTTCCACAAAGTTAGAATTTTAAATTGTTTGTCGAATTTATAGCCTTCACACAAATGGATATGGTATTAAACGAAGTAGCTCTTGTTCTTCAGATTTCATGTTGCTTTTGATTTATGACATGCACAGAATACATGTATTCGGTTTCAAAAGTCATCCTAATAACGGATAGCGCACGTGCATAAACTAATATTGCGCGCATAATGTGCATTTATACATGTACACTCCTTGGTCAAAAGTCTCCGACCATCTGATTTAAGATTACAGATCATTACCTTTTAAAATGAGATTACGCCAAAACTATTAAGCATAAATAAATAAAATTTTTTTTCCATACAGCTCTTGACTTCAGCTACCTGAAAATAAAATTTTTTTTCTTTTACAATGTCCAAAAGTCGTGAACTTACTGAGTTTGAATGAGGAGAGATTATAGATCTCTGGAAAGGAGGCAAAATATTGGAGAAATTCTTGAACATTCTAAAACCACTATTCATAACACTATAACAAAATATAAAAATTCAGGAAATATTATAGATGCTTCATGTTCAGGAAGGCCACCAAAACTCACAGAAAGAGAAATTAGAAGCTTGTAAAATTAGTTAAGGAAGATTGGCAACAATCATTAGAGGAAATGACAAAAAAATTTAGTGAATCTTTATCAATTTCAGTATCTTCTAATACTATAAAGCATACTTTACATATTGAGAGATTTTATGGATGAGCTGGAAAGAGAAAATCATTTATTTCTGAACTAAATTATAAAAAAAGACTAGAATGGTACCATGAAAGAAGAAATTGGAATGATGAGTGGAATTCTATTATTTGGAGTGAAAAATCTTATTTATGTTATTTCAAAATGATACATATCATTGGGTTTGGCATAGATCACATAAAAAATATGATGTAAGTTGCTTAATTACAACTGTAAAATCTGGAAATCAAGAGGTTATGATATGAAGATGTTTTGCAAAAGATAAAATTGGTCCTTTAATTCAAGTTTCAGATAGAATAATGGTTCTTTATATATAAACATGTTAGAAATACTTTTTTACTCTTTTATAATAGTTTAGAAAACAATTTATAATATATTTTTCAAGATGATAACACTCTAATACATAGAGCAAGAATGATCAATTAATGGAAAGAGAATAATTTGATATTAAGTCTTCCATACCTGCACAGAGTCCAGATCTTAATCCAATTAAACATTTGTGAAATGTTTTGAAAAGAAGTGTTAGGAAATATAAATCCCATCCAAAAAATATTATGAAATTAATAGTAGTTTTGAAGGAGAAGTGAAATAAAATTGAGCCTGAAATTTTAATGAATTTAGTTGAAAGTTTGCCAAGAAAAATTCAAGCAGTATTAGATAGTCATAAAAATCCAACTAGATATTAATAAAATTCATGTTTTCTGAATAAAATAATATAAATTTTTATAATATTTGTTTATAAATTGTCAAGAAATTAATTGTTGAAGTTTGTGTATTTTTATTTAGTTTTAAAATGGTTGGACACTTTTGACTGGGAAGTGTACATATATATCACAACTGTAAAAATCAACAAACTTTAAAATATCAATTGTAGTGCACTTATATATTCAATTTTATTATACATATACTTTATTGAATAGCCTAATTTTCTAATTTTAGAAAAATAAAATTTATTTAGAATTATTACAAAAAATATTAGATAATTATTTGCAAAATATAATTAAAAATAGAATGCTTATATCTATCTTTGCAATCAATTATCCAATTATTTGATCTTTCTTTATTAAATTTATCTTTGATTTCTACTTTCAGTATGGAAAAGTTAAAAAAACAATAAGTGAATTAGTAAAATATTAAGACACCTAAAATTTTGATTTCTACTTTCAGTATGAGAAAGTTAATTTAGGAAAAGTTAAAAAAATAATAAGTGAATCAGTAAAATATTAAGACACCTAAATTTATAGTTGGTAATATAATAAAAATATAAAAATCATGATCAAATCACTTCAACACCAAGTTCTGATAGATCTGAAATATTAAATAACTATGTAAAATATATATATATGAACAAATTAATCTATAAATCATTAACTCATTAATGAAAATTTATCTAGAAATATAAATATATCATTATATGGAGCAGGTTTTGCTGATTCTAATCATATATATTTTATTTAAAGTTAATATAAATCCTCTCAAAAATATCCATTTAGGTTAGTTAAAACAAAATTACTCAATTTCAATCAAATAAGAATCAAAGAATTTCTAGTGAACCAAAGATATAGTGACTTATGAAAGAAATATAACACAGAAAAAAATATTGTAATTTGAATATTTCACTATAGGAAGAACTTAGGCAAATAAAAGTTGAGTGTATTAATTAATCAATATCTACAGTATTAATAATATCAAAATTTATTTGAACTTATTATGACCAAACAGAAAGATGAACAGCAAAGCTATATAAAGATAAGTACTTACTTTTGATTTTTGTAAATAAATCTTCACATTATAACAAACGAACTATTTCATTTTTCAAAATTATGCCTATAATCTCTATAAAGAATGCAACTATATATATATATATATATGTTTCGGAAGAAGAATATTTGATATGGGAAATTGCAGCTTTGGAATGGTCTCCATTATTGAATATGCAAAAAGAAGAAAGATACTGGAAGAAGCCAAAAAATGATCACCCATCAATCCTTTCAACATGTTATAAAAGAAATGCATGCCAGTCAATTCACTTGTTTCACCACTTTTGAGATCAAATGAGAGCTTAAAAATGAGTTGGAAGTTGATCATTCAGTGAAAAGCATATGATATATGCTTCATAAAAACAAATTATTTAATTCATATAAAAAAAAGCCATATCTAAATGATTGATATGGACAAAAAATACTGAACTTGAATGGCTGATGAATAATGACATATAATTGATCTGATGAGAGTAAGTACCAAATTTTCAGAATAGATAGCTGAAAGTATTGCTGAAAGAAGCCTAGTAATTAGTTAAAAAGACCACCAACCGTCAAATCTGGCGATGGTTCAATTATGATTTAGAGTTGCATGACAAATGATAATGGTGGTGAGTTGAGAAAAATTGTGAGAAAAATGAATGCGAATAGCTATGTGAAAATCCTAACAAATAATCTTCTAGGAACAGTCTGGAAGAAGGGGCTGAAGAATAGTGATTTTATCTTTCAGCAAGATAATGATCCAAAACATGTCTTCAGAAAAGCAAAGCAATGGTTCGCTGACAATGGGATCACTTTGCTAGATTGGCCATCCCAGTCTCCCAACCTAAATCCCATAGAAAATTTATGGAATGAGGTGGATATGTGAATGAGACAACTTCCTGGATCACTTTTAACCACAGAAAAGTTGTGGGAAAAGTTGCGAGTGGCGTGAAAGAACATAGATCTCGATTATTGTTCAAAATTGTACGAATCTATGCAAAAAGGATTAGTGAGGTAATAAAAGCGAAGGGTGGTTATATAAAATATTGGAAGTATGTGGTGCAAAAAAATTTAGCAGCTTGTTAGTTAGAAATTCGCACTCCTATCTCACGGTCATAATTGGTGTAACATTAAATAAATTAGTGTAGCGTCAATTAAAAGCTAAATGCAAATCAATTTTGATATTGTCAATACTAGAGTTATTGATGAATCACTATACTCATCTTTTAGTTTTCCAAGTTTTCCCTACGGCGAGATATTCGTATTTCGCCGTTTTTTTCCGTGTTGCGTTTCTTTTGTGAGTCACTGTATATTCTGAAAACTTGGAATTTGGTGATTCTGATAAATTTAATTATTGTCGATCATTTCATAGATGATCTTGTCCAGATACTTTTGTCAGGGTCTATAGCATTTACGTAGTATCGTTATACGCCTTTATAGATTATTTATGATTATTTATGCGAGATATATCATGACTCCGTTCATCTGTTACAATTTCGTACAAGCTATAAATATCTGCATGGCTTTCCACTTAGCACCTCTGGACTCAAATAAGGAAGTCCTCCACATGTTGGAATAGTAACGAAATAGCATTATTAACTGGTTGCTGAATTCTCCTGAGAATCTTATTGGGAATATTTGGAAGCTATTGAAGGATTCAAAAAAAGAGATCATCCGAACTTAAAGTTGCTTTAAAGGAGGAGCGGAAAATTGACGTGGCCATTTTTGATGGGGTTGTTGCGTCAATGCTTTTGGAATCAAATGGCTGATCAAATATTATTTAATGAAAATAAAATTATCACAAAACAATTTTATTTTTAATAACTGTATCGGACAATCCTTTTTGGTCAATGTATTAGCGTTTGCGTCACATGGTTTTATAAATGCATCCAAAATTTAGTAATGGTACATGTAGAACAATCAAGATAAAAAAATTAAAGAAAAATTCAAAATCTAAAGATTAATAATATTAAATGTTAAAAGTGCAAAAAAAAAGAAATATCAAATAACGATAAAGTTACAGAAGATAAATTTAAACTGGTAGATTAATATTTGATGATATCAATGCAGGAAAAATATATTCACAAATTTGTTAGAAGGAATTAAATATTATCGTAGCAATGTTGTGTCCGGGGAGATATAGTTACTGCATTTAAGGGCGTTTGTTTTGAAAATACGGTTCTAAATCATTATTAATTCCTGCCAAGAAATTTCAACAATGCATGCGTGCCAAACCATAGTAATTTATGAAAATTTCATTCGTTTGTACATAATGATTATGATACAAGTCATGATTATTAATGATTCCCTACAAAATTTAAGGGTTATAGAGTAATGATTTATTTTACAATATGGAAAAAAACGATCATTTTATTAATGCAATCAGTAAATCAGAATTCTAAGATCATCATGTGTTGAATTCAGGTTCTTTCAAGATAGATAGTATAATAGTTGTACGCAACGACTCTTGTTTACAAAATATTTTTATGAATTATTTAATCAAAAACAACATACGAACTTTTTTGTTACTATTCGTTATGCATGCAATAATTAGCTTTACGTTAGACAAATAATTAAGAGAAGATATTTTTCCTCAAAGCGTGTAATACAGATGTACATGTATTACATGCACACGTAATGATAACGTTGATTTTTATATACATGTTCAGGTAATTTGAAATTTACAAGTATCAGAGTGGAATTCGATTTTCTAAAACTAAAGTTTATTGTTTGTATGTACTGTATGTAAAAGAAGTTATTACATAGTTAAAATCCTGTTTTTCCGATATGCATATAATTATAAATCAAAAGTTCTTATGCATATAATTATAAATCAAAAGTTCTTATTCTATGTAGCATGAAAAATTTACACAAATCTAACTGAAAAAGAGAAAGAGACAACAGATACTGTAATTAATTAAAATTGCTATAAATACGAATGAATCATCGCGTCATTTGAAATAAAGAGGATTTATAACATACAATTATAAAAAAAACGCCTCAAGATGTCAATAATTTGTTGTTGTGATTGTATTCCTAAAAAAATTTCGTGGCGCAAGACAGAACCAACTGTAATCAAGGTTCTCAAAGGAATATTTTTACGAGTGCTTTGTTTGATAATGTGTCTCTATGTAATTTTATTGTTTTTTCGATTGGTAACGGATGAACCATTACAAACTATCGTTCCGTTATTTGATTTTAACATTCCACCCCCATGTAAAAAAAATACAATTTTTGTTTCTTCGCTAATGCACATTTGTATCTGCGTGCTTTAATATTGATAATGAAAAAGACTAACATTCTGCATCGTATAAATGTAGCTGTTGAGATTGACGCTCCTTTCAAATTCAATATAACTTGTAATTTCATTTTACGTAAGTAATCAATATTAATGTTGTCTGGTAAAATTTCATACAAATTTAAGTTCCTTTCGTTATTATTTTAGAAGATGGAACAAAGCCGGGCTGTGACGATTACATTGTGTCTTATAACGATAAAAATACATACGTGTCGGAATTTTACACAACAGATTCTGATTTTATGTTCTCTAGTGATGGGATCCAAGATATTGAATTTTTCTTTTATCTAACTAATTCTACGATAAATTCTCTTGACTTGTTTGATACTTTGAATGTTAATCTGATAGCTCATGGTAAGTTAAAACGCTTGAGTATATATTTGAATGCTTTATATTGATATGATAACTATCCATCACTTGTAGATTCAAGTTTGTTAAAAAATTTATTTGAAAATAAAAGCTATAATCCCGATTTGCTTGCACAACTTGTTAAAAAGAATCTATATGTTCTTTCTCCATATCAGGTAAGAATACGTGCATACATGTACATGTTTAAAAGAAACTATGCTTTTTAATGCTCATAGATTTTTTAATTTTTTTTAGTTGAATCAAATTAGTTTCCAACAATACAAAAATGAAAGTATTGCGGCAACTCCAAAAAATATTTTTGGTATTCCTCGAACTGACTATGAGCGTGATATTGATGTTATGACAACATTTCGTAAGTTTCATGATTGATATATCAACATTATGATTCGATTTGATGTATTGTGTGTTTTATATCGAAACAACTTTTACAGAAACGTACAATTTTCCATCAACGGATCTCACGAATCTAACGCATCCAACGGATCCAAAATTATTATTTTATACATATTTGGATTTAACACTGTACACATACGAAGAACCAAAAATTGGACAAAAAAAGTAATTTCTTTATTAGGTTATCAAATTCTTCATCGTTATCTTTTACTAAAATATAAAACTTAACATTAACCGTCTTTTGATCATATTAAAGAAACATTGATGTAAGTTTTTGATTTTGTAAATTGCTTCCTTGCAATAAAAAGAGATTAATTTTTTGAACAATTTAGTTACTAGGCATTCTTAGTGCTCTTGGTGGCGCTATGAGCGGTTTTTCTGCAGCTTATGTCTTTCTTTTTGGTACGTTTTACTTTTTGAATTTTATAAAAAAATTTTTCTAAAAAAAATTTGAAATAAATAGGTATCGAACGAGTAAAACCATGGGGACTCTGTCAAAGAATTTTCAGAATCAGAGACCCAATTCAAAAGAAACTATATAAAACACTTGGCCCAAAACTACCATTTGTCAATGTCAATGAGAATGACAAGGACGAAAAAATGCCAGTTTCTTTGGAAGAACTTCAAAACCGGCTAAATAATTTAGAACTTTTCTTGCGTGAGTATATTATTGATCATTCGTATCTTGCTGAAGCTCAGAAAAACGTAGAAGATGGGAAAGTTAAAGTTTGATAGTTATAAAGTTACTACTTAGCACGTGTCTTATTTGTGTATCATATTTGATTATTATATGTAACAGTAATTTAATTCAGTTAGTGTACTTGTAAAAATATTATATTATTGTTATTTTACACATATATCGAGCTTTTTGCGCACATTAGCTCTAGAGATTGGAATAAATTAACACATTATTCTAACATTGCTATATCACTTAAATTTGGTGAGCTCATAATCGATCACACTCTCAATATAAATCTCGCAAATTGCCATTAATATATACGTTTTAAATTTAACAAGTCTTATTTTGCCAAGTCGTTAGGGAATTCTATTGTGGACTTAGAGTTTTTATTTACCTTTGTCGTCACTATGGATTGTTGCAATTTATAAAGCTTTTAATCGGATCGGAAGATTCAACATTTCGGGTTGTTGATACACTATCGCTACACAATTACATAATTACATTTGATGATAGATAAATCCTTTTCATTTTCTCTCAAATTATCTAATATTTGATCTTTTCTTATCAATTAATTATTCCTTTTAAATTTCTTTTCTGATAATTTACTGAATATTTCTTTTTAGAGGTTTTTTAATACATTATAAATTATTAAAGTTATTACTAGTTTATAATAGTAAATTTATATATTATAATATTTCATTCATTTAAAGTCTTAATTATCTTAAATTATTAGTATCTGTTCTAATAATTTTTTTATTAATATAAACATTTATTATTAAAAATTATATTAAAGTTATGTTATTTATTTTATTTTTAAATTATTTTTGATTTTTCTTTGTTCAGTTCTCTTGATTAATTTATTACATTAAAATTCAATAATGTTAATAAGTTTAATAAGTCTTTATTTTCTTCTTTTTAGTTTCCTTTTGTTTTTTGATTATTAATTACTTTCACGTAGCCTACCCCCCCCCAATGGCTTTCTATGGATCATGTGTAATGTACTGAAATTTACCAAACACAAAGAACACCGCAAATACTGATCATCCATGTCTTTGTAAATTTCTATATCAGATATTGGATATTCATCAAATTCTCATGCTTCAATCACTTTATAACACATATCTTAACGTTCAGTGTTCCAATTCTTGAATCCAGTGATCAGTTTGAATAAAAATATTAATATTTGATTCGCCTAATCAAGATGAATGGAATAGTAAAATATTTTGTTTGAAACTGATCATTAAATGGCAAGTTATTGTGTCCTAAAGTGATCGATTAAATTTTTTGACCTTAATAAAAAAAGAATTGGTCATTTTAGGGTGCAATATCTTGATATCTAATGGTTAGTTTTGAATAAAAATATTACCATTCAATTTGTCTAGTCAAATTAAATGGTAATATTTTTGTTCAAAACTAATTACTTGATATCAAGATTACATTCTAAAATGACTGACTCTTTTTTTAATGATCAATTTCTAATAATCAATAAAAAATAGATCGCTATAATATCTCAATATTCAATAATTAATTTGAGTAAATACATTACTATTTGATTATTTAGATATGAATATTTGAACGATAAGATATTTGCTTGAATCAAATTAATAAATATCAAGATATTATATTATAAAGTGATAATTTATTATATTTATAATGTAAATATTTAATAAATATCTAATATCTGATAGTTTATAAAGATATAGATAATTAGTATTTATATAGTTTTTATTTTCAAAAATTTTTGATATATTGTATAAAATCTATAAAAAGTTATAAAGATAGATTATTTCTGATAAGTATTATATAATTTATTAAATTAAAATATTATTAATAATCACTTTTAGAATTAATAGTAGATAGTATATATAATTAATAATCTATAGTTAATGATATAAAGATTCAGAATTTTTTGTAACACATAGATAAGTCTTATTATACAGTGGTGACCAAAAGTAATGACTCAGGGGCTAAATTTACTAATAAAACATAGTGAAAATTGAAATTTTCTCTCTATATTAAAATTATAATTTTAATAAGAAATAATGTTTATTTTTATATTAAAATAAAGTTTATTAAATTTTATTTTTAATTAATAAAAATTTTTGCATTAACTTTACAATTAAAGTAACTCTTTCAGAAAAAATCTAAAAAATCTGAAAAAAATATATGTTAAACTACAACTGATAAACTTTATTTTAATATAAAAATAAAAATTATTTCTTATTAAAATTATAAATTTTAATATAAAGAGAAAATTTCAATTTTTACTATATTTTATTAGTAAATTTAGCTCCTGAATTATTACTTTTGATCAGTACTATAAATTTATATCAATCTTTTTTATTATAATTAATATTTATAAATAAATAATATTATATAATATTACTCTTAAAATATAAAGAATTATAATAAAAAAGATAATATCTAAAATATTATTAAAATTATGAATTATATATAAAGCTTATAATATATAATCTTATCAAAAAATTCAAAGAAAATGATATTATTCTATTTTAAAAGAACTTTTATTCTTTTATTCAGAATTATTATTATTTAAGCTAACTTATTTAAACTAATCAAATAATTTTTTTACTTGAAAAGAAAGATAAACTTACTAAAATTAATTTAAATTTATTTATATTATTTAATGCTCTCTTAATAAAAATCTTTATTATATTATTTATAAATCACAAAAAATTTCTATTATTAAATCAAATTATATTACTTTTCATCTTAAATAAAATCAAAATATATTAATAATAACTAAAATTAAATAATTTTTCAAATAAAATTATATTTTAAATATTTTAAAATATCTAACTAGTATAATAATATTATTATAAAAATAAATTTTTATATTATTTTATAATATAAAGTTCATATTTAGAAGATATTTTTTATAATAATTAATTATATTGCTTTTATTTATAAAAAATTCAAATTCTTATAGATATAATGAAATTCTTGAATTTTATCTATTTTTAAATACTTATAAAATTAATTTTAAATAGTTTTTTAATAAAATAATTCTTTTATTTATATTATTATTATTATTATTATAAAAAATCTTTTTAAAAAGTATTAGATACTGTATATATAATTAATTAATTTTTAATTAAAAATTTATAAATATGAGTTGGTGCAAAAAGATTTGTACCTCAGATAAATATTAATAAATTATTTTTTCAAAATAAAATTTTAATTCTGTCTTA